ATTTTTATACGAGTTTGAAAAAAGGAAATTCCTCGCCATCATATATATGCTTTTGTTTACTAATTTTCTTTACTCTTTTTTCATAGCTCAGTCACAATTTTCTTCTTGATGAAACCCCACTACACTTTGAAAGGTGAACTGTAATAGGCTAAATGGGACCTCACTTGTTGCCTTTCTCAAAGTTGGTACCCAGAAGTAGCTCAACATCCAAACCTCCACCTCATGAAACTCCTCAGAAAGCTACAAGCCCACCAGCAAATGAAACTGAGTGCACTGTATGTGAGCCCATCAGTATACTGCTAGAAAGTCAAGACAATTAATTCCCGCTGTTAGAAGTCTGGGGATGAGGTGGTAATAGGATGAGGAGTTTCTGACAAACTAATACGGTTCTGTTTTTGTTTTTTTGTCTGAACCTTTTGTACATACAGAGAGCTGTATACGTCTGATTTGCACACTTTCCTGTAGATGAATATAAAACTACATATTGTAGTTTATGAATTGGGCTGGAACCACAAGGTCAGCAGTTCGAACCTACCAGCTGTTCCACACCAGAAAGATGAGGCTTTTTGCTGCCGTAAAGATTTACAGCCTCAGAAACCCGGTTACAGGGTGGCTATGAGTCAGGACCCACTCCGCGACACATAACAACAACAACAATTGTTTAGTGCCTATGAGTCTGTTCTGACTCATAGCCACCCTGTATAGGGTTTTCGAGGAACCACTGCTGGGTTTAATAAAATGTTTAATTTCATTTTTAAATGTACTAATAAAAAAATTTTTTAATGTTTTACTTGAATATCATAACTCTTCCGGGATGCCATGAGGGAGGGAGAGCCTTTCTAGGTTGAATACATCACATTATGCACAGCATTTTGGGAATACTGTATTGTTGCATCAGGTTTTCATAAATTCTTAACTCAAGATGTTTTTAAAAACCACTGTTCCTTGTACTTTTGAAAAAGAAAATTCAAACCGCTTCCTCCTCTCCCCACTCAAGTGGCCCAGGATTCTTCCTGTTTTGTAGCCCAGACAAGTTGCCATGTCTTGCAGATGCTCTTTCAGATGATCTCTGGCTTCCAAGGCCAGCTCTGTGGCTGCATTTCTCCAGTGGACCACTAGAACCAAGGTTTCTTTTCTGGGTTTCAGGCGTCATTTTTCCTTCAACCCATTCTTGCCACTTACATTCAAGCGAAAAAGAAAAACAGTAAACTCATAAACCAGATAATTTTGAAAACGACAGAGAGAATGAGGGATGCCTTAGACAGTGAAGGCCTCTGCTTCAGTGCTTTGCTTAGAAAAACGCTCCCACCGAAATATTAAATAAAATGCACCTGTGTTTTTCTTGATTCTGGGCTACTTTGTTTTTGTAACATTTCAATCTGTAATGGAATTTGTTTTAGTGTAAATGATTTTTTTGTTGTTGTTTTAAAAATATTTTAACGCTTATACCAGTATCTTTCCCCAGTGATTCAAAATACTAGTTGGATTATATAGCATGGTGCTGTAGGATAAACACTGGACTGCTAATTGTAAAGTGAGTGCTTCAAACTCACCAGCTGCTTCTCTGAAACCTTATAGAGACTGCGTTGGAGCTGACTCAACAGTTCTTAACACGTGCATATTCTCAATACTAACATGTTCTATAGGATTTTTGAGCATTCTATTCTGTTAGACTCCTGATGAGGCGCTGTAGGATAAGCACTGGGCTAATTGTAAGGCTGGTGGTTCAGATCCACCAACTGCTTCTCAGGAACCATACACCCAACTCCGTGGCACTTACCAGCTGCAAGTTCTATTGATCCAATTGCTGTTGTTGTTAAGTGCCGTCGAGTAAGTTCCGACCCACAGCGACCCTGTATAAGGTTTCTGAGTAGCAGCTGGTGAGCTTGAACCACCGACTTTGTGGTTCAAACCAACTTTGCCGTCCAGTGCATTAACCCAATGCCACACCACGACTTCATTGATCTAACTAGGTTTAGGTTTTTATGACGCTATATAACAGTACTAATTAATTTTCCAGTTTCTTACAAATTCAATCTTTTCTTGACTATTCTTTTACTTCCTTTTACAACCAATTCTTGATGTAGGATAAGCACTGGACTGCAGGGTTGGTTTGAACTCTAAGGTCAGCAGTTCTAACTCACCTGCTGCTCCTTGGAAACCCTATTCAGGGTTGCGGAGTCAGAACTGACTCAAAGGAACTCAACAAGATGTATTTGGTAATAAAAAATTTGTTATTTTAGTAATTTAACGCAGCAAATTTGCATGTTTTGATATGAAATGGTCATATTTTCATTTTCCAAGCATTCTGTAACTACAGGTTTGATTTCATGAAGTAGTTTTTTAAGAAAGAAAAGAGAGATACCTTTTTGGCCCCCTTCAATTGCCAGTAAAGAAATGATACCCTCAATGCATCCTCTTTCTCCTTAATTTTTATCCTTCTTGAAACTTATTTCTAATACAGTTTGATTGCAATTCCCTCAGTGTGACATCTCCTCTCCCGCTTTCTCCGTGTTTCCTATTTCCGTGCCTCCTCCTTTCCCTTCTGAAGCATGTCTTTCCTTCTGTCAATGCTGCCCTCTGATCTCCAATGGTTGACCATTCTATGGTTATTTTTTTAGTGTAAAATTAATGCATGCAGAATGTAGAAATGTCACACAATCCTCTTGTTAAGTGCCATCGAGTAAGTAGGTTCCAACTCAGTGATCCTGTTTCCTAGGCTGTAAATCCTTGCAGGAGCAGGGAATCTAATCTTGCTCTGAGGAGCGGTGGGTGGCCTTGAACTGCAATCTAGGAGGGTAGAAAATAAACAGTGCCTCCAATTCTTTCTAAATGCTTTTTGGCTGTGGGATCATTTTCAATCTTCCAAAGGCTTTCCCTCAAATGCTAGAACTCCTCTCTTTATGCCCCAAAACTTTCACAGGGTGCTCACTTTGCTTCTTTCTTGAAGCAACAAGTGTTCTAACCACACTCCCAAAACCAATAGAAGGTCTTTTTCTATTTGGAAGTGGTCTGACTCCTCAGCTGCCAGGCTAGGTTCCAGTTCAGTGATTCAGCATCCGAGAGGGGGCGAGCGGTATTTATTCTGTTTTGTACATTAGAGGACTACAGGCCACAGCTCCACCGAATTTGATTGTTACAAGTTAAGGCAGTTTATGACAAACACACTGCTATCTCCCGCCTTCAACTAGAACTCTCTCCCTACAAATGAGTGTTAAGGCTCCAGGATCCTCTGCTTCCCTCCTCTGAACTCTGCTTTCTTGAGACTTGTCAGCCATGTTGATTGCTCCAATCAAGTTCACCTGGGCTATTTGGCAGAAACACCACTTTTTTGCCTGTGTATATTACCCATTACCCTTCCCTTGGGATGTTGTCATACCATAGAGGATGGTTATTTTTAGATCATGTTCTTACCTAGAAATCTTTCCAAGTTCTCTCATCTAATTCTCATGACAATTCTGATGTTTGTAAACTCAAGATCCCAAGTAGTCTAATGTCAGAAATACAGTGGCCAAAGGATTAGGCCATAAGTACACCAGATCCTCTGACGTCAAGAGCAAAAAGACTCATTCCATCATCTTCCTCCAACTCCCCCTTTAAAATTAAAACTTTCTTGTGAACTGGGTGGTTTAGAGAGCAAGTTACTGTTCCATTCAACATTTCATTGTTTCGTGTTGTTGGATTGTAATCCTCACGATGTAACATTCCCTAGCCCCTCCTGCCTTCTAAACTTCTTGGGCAAATCTGCCCTTTGACCTCCAATGGTTGACTGTTCTAAGGAGCATGTACCATCCTAGTATCACTGTTCCCCTTCTAGATCTATTGTTTGGCTGAAAATTGAGCTATTGGGTGTGCGTGTTTGTGTGCGCACGCGCGAGTTCAATTCAGAACCCAAAGGGTGACCAAGGGCCATTGTCTTGGTTCCTCCAGTCTCCAATAAGCTTATGATTGAGTTTTGTTCCACATTTTTCTCCCATTTTATCTAGGACCTTCTATTGTGATTTCTTTCAAGAGCTGTCCATAGTGGTAGCCAGGCACCATGTAACTCTTCCGGTCTCAGGTCATGGAAGCTGAAATTCACATTGTCCATGTGTCCACGGGACTCAGGTTTCCATGCATTTTCAATTCTCTTCACTCTTCTGTATTCTGGATTGGGAGAGACCAATGGTTGCACCTTTGATGGTCTCAATGTCACCCCTTACTCTAAATCACCTCCCCCACCACCACATTGGCCAATTCTGCTAACCACAGAAAGGTAGAGATTTTTTTTAATGGAACTGGCTGATACAAACGTCCACACTGAAATATAAAGCTGTAATGGCTTCTAACTTTGTAAACAAGTTTCCTTTTATTCCACTTAGATGTTCAAAAGCTGGGGCACAGAAAAATGAACCCCTGCTGCTACTCACCCTGCTGTTACACTTGCAACTTGGTCCATCTGTTCTTGACACTTCCTAATGGACATGTAGAATGGCACGCTCCCTAGGGATTCGCTACTTGAAAGCATAGAGGAAGTTCAAGAGTCAGTAGATGAATAATCATTCCTCTCTACCTGTGGATACACGGTCACAGGCCCTCCTGCTAGTTGTGCTGGTGATTTCAGCAGCTCGAGGGCTTAGCAGTTGGCTCCTTTCCATCCAGACCATACAGGACTGGACCAGCACCCACCTTCAGGGTCACCTTGCCATTTAGGGAAGATCCTGGTGGTGGAGTGGTTAAGGACTTGGCTGCTAATCAAAAGGTTGGTAGCCTGACCTCACCAGTTTTTCCACGGGATAAAGAAGTGGCAGTCAGCTTCCGTAAAGATTACAGTCTTGGAAACACTATGGGGATGTCTGACCCTGTCCTGTGGGGTTGCTATGTATTTAACAGACAGGCACTCCTAGGTGAAGGTGTAATGATCCTACCACAGAGAAAAGCAGACACACTCAGGACTGTTTTAATGTTTTACTGTTCAGAGTTTGTCATGTCAGGACCAGAGTCTTCTCTCAGGCTCAATTTTATAAATTTTCAATGGGCTGATGAGGCCAATAGGGATACTTGGTCTTGTCTAATTTGGTTTCAGGGAAGACTTCGTTGAAGTCATCAATGGTCATCTGGTCAAATGGAATAATGTTCCTCATCTTCTCCAGCTGGAAAGAGGAAATGGGTTTAGTTGAGGTAATTAGGGTCGCAGAGCCATGAAACAAGACCTCAAGGCAGACTACTGGCAACAGGCGAAAGAGAGGAGACATGCAGGCAAAGTCATGGTTCAACTTACTTGTTTCTCGTATTCCCCAATCCTAGTCTTTGAAAGAGACACAAACTCAGCACAGCTCTTCCCCTTGAAAAGAAGAGAGAGATGCTGTTTTGAAACCGAAACAATTGAGAGAGTCGGCTTTGTCCTGACCCAAGGTATAGGAGTCCCAGAGCCCAACCTTCCTTGCCCACGGCTCTATATAGTACCAGCCTCTGGGTGGTGCGGATGGTTAACCCATTCCACCACCAACTAGAAGGTTCATGGGTACAATCCAGTTAGAGTTGCCATGAATTGGCATCAACTTGAGAGCAACTGGATGGTCTACCGAGTGGCTACCCCACTGAGTGAGGAGAGAAACCACTGCTTTTCCTACCAAGTCATGAAGAAGCCCAAGGAGGAAAGCCAGTATCCAGACTGTTACAGCAAAGGTTTCCTTCCATGCAGCCATTTAGCAAACGCCCACGTTTCCTAAGGCCCAGTCACGAGGAGGACAAGCCTCCTCCTTCAGGGTCAGGACGAGCCTTCTGACCACCTTTGGTGGAGTCGCCTGGGCCCCAATGGTTGAGTGGCCTTCTGTCCTTTCAAGCCAATAGTCAGTCATTTGAATACTCTTTTATTTTTCTACCCAATTAAACTCCTTAGAGTGTCTTCAACAGCTTTGTTGAGGTATAATTGGCAAACAATGAAATACACAGTTTAAAGAATGTCATTTGCTACACTGTGACAGTGAAGCCAACGTCACAATCAAGATGTTGCTGGTTCCGACTCACAGCGACCCTGTATAGGGTTTTTGAGGAGTAGCTGATGAGCTTGAACCGCTGATTGTGTGGTTCAAACCGACCTTGTGGTCCAGTACTCATCCTATGGTACCACACCAGGACTCCACAATCAAGATTGTTGTTGTTAGGTGCCATCAAGACGGTTCCAACACGCAGCCACCCTATATAGCATTTCTGAGGAGCGGCTGGTGAACTTGAACCACCAATCTTGTGGATCAAACTGACTTTGCAGTCCAGCACATTAACCCACAGCGCCACACTAGGACTCCCAGTCAAGACAGTGAACGTGTCTCTCTCAGCCCTTTCCCTCTAAGTACCAGGCAACCACTCATCTGCTTCTCTCACTACAGATTTCGGTGAAACCTGGGACAACCACCAGCTCTTCTGCCTTGATTTTCCTGGCTGCGCAAGTTTCCCACCTTTGACAGGTGCAGGTACCACTTTTCCATCACTATGTTGTTGTTGTTATGTGCCGTGGAGTCAGTTCCGACCCACGGCAACCCTGTACAGGGTTTCCGAGGCTGTAAATCTTTATGGGAGCAGAGAGCCTCATCTTTCTCCCACGGAGTGACTGGTAGTTTCGAACTGCTGACCTTAAGGTTCACAGCCCGATTCGTAACCACTACACTACCAGAGCTCCTATTGGTGGAAAGTATTTGTTTTCCTTCTCTGACGGGTTTCCACTTTACGGAGGTGCCAGCTTTTGCAGGTTTTACTGCAGTTGCACCTTTTAAAAGTTTTATATAAATGAAATCCTATGGTATATGTATGTCTGTTTGTTTTTGCTGGCTACACTCAGCAGAACTACTCTGAAATCCATCCACGTTGCTGCATTTACAAATCGTCCATCCTTCTTTACTGCTGTCAACTCCTTGTTTTGTAACTTCACTCACTGAACCTTCACCCAGCTGCTAAGAAACACACAGAGTTGTCAGGATTCAGAAAATTCTTGAAAAAACAAAGGCCTCGACTACTTACATCTTCTTTTTCTTCAGCGTCCACCAGGGCAGTAAACTTATCTTCCGGCACTGGGATCTTCAGGGCTTTAAACTGCAAACACAGGGACTGTGAGTGGTTGCCAATATATCAAGAATAAGGATTTAGCCATTAATCCTTACGGTTCATATAAAAAGATTCTCCATCCGGAGATGAAAGCAGGATGCTTCTAAATGTCAGAGTGGAAAGACTAATAGACCAGGAAACAAGCGTTCATGGTTCTACAACAGAGATAGAAGGAATCTTAACATCAAGTACCAATCCTATCCCCGCTGTACACAGGGTAGATAGGGACGGGCAACTTAGACATCAGCTACCTAAAATAAGGGGGCAATAAAGGCACAAAGTGACTGGCTTACAAGGTTTCAAGAGGGAGTTTAGTTTAACAGTGTGCAGGGGAGGATAGTTTCCACTGAATAGTTTTCACCTTGTCTAGATGGGTCTGGTAAAAAGAGATGGGGATAAGATTCTTAAGATTCAACAGTGAGTAATTGTTATCATGACTAACTGTGACTATTACACTGTAAAGGTAGAAGTTTTGTAACAAAAACGGGGGAATAGTTAATCTTACAGCACAGAAACAGAGAACCCTATAACCATCAAGGGAGAGGAGCACAAGCGGAATGTGGGACCTTATCCAGAGAATCAGAGATGGAGACCTGGAGAGAGGGAGCAGCTGAGGACTGGAAAGACAGGGACTGAGAGCTGGTGGCCAGGAGGCAGATTGCAGAATGTGTCCTTTGATTATTTAAATTAATAAGTATGCCTGAGTGTTGTTGTTGTTTTTTTTTTAAAGACCTGAAATGAATAGAGAGAAATCCTGTGAACTGATGGTACATGGAGGGGACTATAATCACTGTAATGAAACAAAGCATATGATTAGTTGAATGTAAAACTGATTATCCACCTTGTAAACTTTCACTCAATGCACAATAAAAACATCAGTTCTGGATCCTGTTTCTAACTAACTGTGGACCCTGGGCAATTCTTCATCAGCTTCACTTCCTTGATCTGAACATGACAATGAGAGTTGGGACCTCAAAGCCGGATCTCTTAGCACAAACTCTGCTTTCTCTTTTAAGTGAAAGCCATGAGGACTGACTGGCAGTAGTGTCGTTTGCATGATGCAGACAGACTCTTAGAGGATTAGCTCAGTGTGCCCTTGGGCAGGAGGCTGGCTAGCAGAATGTACCCTTTGGACATTTAAATGACTATATATTCTTTGTTCATTTGTGACATATTAAGATGTAAATGGGGAGCCACAGGGTAGGGGGGGCGGAGGATGACTGTTGTTGCAGGGAGAAAATTGTAGTCCTCAGGATGGGCAATGTGTGTGGTTTGTTGAAAGTAAAACTGATGATCTTGTCTGTGAGCTTTCGCTTAATTCACAGTAAAAGTTCAAAAAATAAAATAAGCTCAGCGTGGTAACCACAGCCGGCAGCACTGTGCCTGGCACAGCGTGGGCCCTCGAGAAACAACCAGTGAGCGAACACATAGACCAACTGTGAAAGCCGAGGACTGAGGATGCATGTAAGTATCAGAGGAGGGCAGGTGGATGAGAAATGACAGCTATCAGGGACAGTTTAAAAAAAGACTGAGTAAAGAGGAGGAAAACAGTAGTAAGAAAATAAAGATGTTTGTTTCAAAGGGAGACAGATGGGAGGCTACAGAGGAGTTCCAGAAGAGCTGAGAGGGAATACCTGACAGCCCTTTGGCTCGCCAATGAAGGATAAGAAGAAACCTGCTGCTGAACAGGCCCTGGATTCTCACCACTGAAATCCACCACCCCTAGCTCTGGTCACGGGCGTCTTTCCTGATTTCAGTGTTAGCCGCAGCCTTCTTTCCTTACTGTCTTCCCGCACATGTAATTATCTGCTTTCTTCTTCTCCATGCACAAGTCATGTTAAGAGAGCACTGCTTGGCTTGTCTGATGACTACTCACCTTCTTCTCAAAGTCATCCACTAAGCCAGCCTTGGCCACGTTGGCCTTATAGTAAGCCCAGTCGATAGCTGGCGGTGCCTCGGGTAGAGTAGCCAACCT